CGAGTGCTGCCCGTCTGGTCACAGTTCCTGCCACACTCACTCGCACTCCTCACTCTGACGTCGGACGCCGACTTCACCGACCTCTAACTCAAACCAAATGGAGTGGGTTTCCTTACATCAAGTGCTCTTTGAACTCCACTGCAAACTGCATGCTCCACCACACCAAAACTCAGCCACAGGGAGCACCGTTGTGGGTTGGTTTAAAAAAAAAAAAAAAAAAAACATCAATGGTCGGCGACCCTGTCTGTCAAAGTGCTCTTTTTCTTGTAGCAGAAACTGAGTTGAACTGCTGGATTTTTGCTGAGTTGCAGTCTTCTTTCATTAACACACACTTGTTGTCTTGTTTCCGTAAGCCCCGCCCACCACCGCGGCATGGTCGGGCCAATGATAAGAGTATAGAAGGATGTGGAAAAAAGTGAAGGAATATAAAGAGAACATAAAGATTTGATGTTTTTTTTTCTTTTCCTTAAGTCTGTTTTCTTTGTTTATTCATTGATTAGTTTTTTTTTGTCACTTGATTATTTGATTCAAATTTGTCACCTGTTATAAGTTTGCATTTTTGTGTGAGTGACGTGAACGAGTGCGTGAATGAAATGATTGAATCATGAATCGATGACCTAGTTTCCTGTCTGTGACTTTATTTCACCTTTTTTCCTGCAACACTTTATGTAATTTCACCCTTTTACCTCATCGACCAATCATATCACCTTTCTCATATTTATTATGTAGTTTTATATTTTGGATGGGGGGTGAAATATTGATAATATATAGTGGAATGCGCTGAGTGTAAGTGGCACAACCTGTCGGTGGGAAATAGCCTCCGGTTGCTGATTTCATTCCAAATTTTCTATTATTAAAACAAATGTGCTCTTACATATATAAATATATATCCGCTCTGTTGCTAAGCATATGTGTTCAGTATCATTTGTCCTGTACCTTTTTTTGTTTTGTTTTTATTTTCTTTCAGGAAGAACTGACGTTTTTCCTGTGTGTTTTGTACTTTTGACATTTTGCTACAATTCCAGCCACTAGGGGGCCAGTAAACCTGAGCGACACAGGGCACTGAAAAAATAAAATGGGTAAAATTCATGTCGTCACATGTCAGAAGATGAAGGAGCAGAAAAAAAAAGACAGAATGGCAGTGTTTACTAAGTCAGATCACGTCATACTAATATGAATGTTGATTATTTCAATGCAAAAAAAGCAAAAAAATTAAATCTTTTGATCTGAGGTTTAACAAACGGTGTCTTTATTGTATGTTGTCTTGATGATCTGCAGGATTTTCTTGTTTTTTGTGTTCCGACATTGAATCAAAAAATAGTAGAAGTAACTTAAACTAAACAAGTATTATGACAAGAGTTTCTTTACTGACTCAAGTTTGTCAATTTTCTAAACAATGTCTATTGTTTACTAAATAAAAGTTAGTTTGGTTTAAAATTTAATTTAAAGCTGAGGACCACACTGAAAGCAACTCTTGTGTGTTCCAGTTTATGTATGATATATACTTATATATTTGTGTATGTATGTATATTAACATCATGAACATGCTAGTTTGATAACCCCAGTATATTTATACATCGATATATTTAAATTACTGATGTCTGATGTTAGCATAATATTTAACATCTATAACACTCGTTATCGGTTTTTCCTCCGATAATGAGGGTTTCCGAATGATGTGCCCTAAAAATAGTTTCGATGATAAATGGCTGTATATTAAATTGAAAGTCGGTAGATGGCAGCACTGTAGCTCATTTAATCTCATACTCATACAGTGGTTTGTACTGATAAATAAACAAATATTACCAGGCCTATATCGTTATCGGTTGATATTGGAATCAGAAATTAACTGTTTGGACAATATCTGATATCAACACATGTCTATATATGTACAGTATATATGCATATACTGTTCATACAAATGTGTTTATATATGCATGTATATGCAATATGCAGAAACTGAGAAAAAAAAACCCTACAAGTAATTTAAATAACATGTGCTCTCTATTGTGGTCCTGGTGACTATACTGACATTAATTTAGAGAACTCTTAGGTTGCCACTGACAGTTACGTTGTGGTAACTACCTCAAGCTCATTAAAAAATCTGTTAATGACTGTAATCTTCCCTAGTTGCTTAAATCAGAGTCGGGTAAATCCTTCGTGGCCGATCTCCTGGTCATTCCGTCCTGTAAAACCTGACACTGCCCCTGACCTAGTTAGGAGCTGATTCTCAGAGTCTGTGCGAAATGATGCTGGGACTGTGGGCATAATAATGGTTTCACTTCCAGATTCACTTCAGCCCAGGTGTCAGTATCACATTCTATCCACGGTTGAAGTTCAATTATCAGTTAAAAGTTATTTCTAAAGTCATGAGATCATCGACGTATAGGTTGACAAAAGAGGGAAAACAAACTATGCCAACCTGGACAGACCAATCCTTAAAAGAGGCGATGGCATCATGCACTAGCTGTTAGCCAATCACATTCTCTATCTCTATCTCACACACACACACACACAGAATACTACAGTTGACCTACCACACCAACATTTACAACAGTATGTCAGTGCGGTGACTCTGATGACACTCATTCACAACTTAGACTCAGATATAGTTTGTTGATTTATTATGTAATGCCAAAATTGATGTATCTGCGGTTGGTTTTTTTACATTTATCTGAGGAAATTATTTTCCTAATTACTTTTGAAGTAATTCACTTAAAACTCACTTAAAAATGTCGAGTGCATTTACGTAGAATTGTTCTAAATTTGTTGGAATCTTTATCTGTGAGCAGTACGGGGGCTACAATGTTAGATTAACGATTAATTTCATTACTATGAAACGCAACGCGCTGAAACAAATACTGTACTTCGTGTACTATGTCGTTCGTTTGCTATGCTAAAGTTCAACAAACTCTCTGAAATATGAACAAAAACAATTTGAAACACGTTTAAAGTTCAGTTCATGCGAAAACCAGCTTCCCCGAAGGTAAGATTACGTCACAGCACCACCACCACAGACAGACTGAGGGTTTTTTTTTTTTTTTTTATCTCCATCTCTGATTGGGCACACCCCTAAAACGCTCGGCAAACTCTACTCTCTGATTGGCCAGCGCGGCCACGTGACACCGTCAAAGTCAGAGGAAACCATACGCTCTTTCAACTCTGACGCCGCTGCTCCGATATAGAGCGATACCTCGTGTGATGTGGGACCAGTCGGCTGTGGACCAATCAGAAAGCAGCTCATGGACACGGCCAGCGCATGTTTCTCTACAGTGCACGGTGGGACGCGCGTTCCTTCGAAGGGGACGTTGAAGAATTCAGTATTTAGTCACGATTTTATAATAAATATCGAACAAAAACACAAAAAGACCGGAATAGAAACATTATGCTGATAAAATGAGTAAAAGTTTCCTGATTAAAAAAATAAAATAATGATACAACTCATTTTAAAACATTTAGTGATTTCAGGAAAATAAATCTGTGTGTAAAGTGAAACGGCTGTTAAGTTTGTCAATATTGTATGGTGGTATTTATACATATTTAGCAGGAGAAACCAGTTTTGTGACCTAAGTGACAAATAACCAAAGACACCAGTCAAACAGGTCACGGGAAATGCGAGACTAACTGCCACGCGCCACATTACTGCCAGTAGGACCAGATTATTTTAAACTGTGTTATGAACTTTACAAATAATTTAACACCATTAAAAATTGCTCCACGGTATGTGGTGAGGTTTAGTTCATACTTCTTTACCTATCTTACTACACCAGTACTGCATGTACTGCATGCATATAACTACAAACTAGAAATTAAGAGAGAGAGAGAAATACCACACACTACTTAAATAGTCCAGTTTTCATGGAAACACCATTCTAGAAAGATAAATAAATATAAAAATACGAAATAAATTAAAACATATATATATATTTTTAAGGAATCAATGACTTAAAATTCCAATTAATTCAATTCAATTCAAAGCGTTTATTGTCATGTGTACAGTAAGGAAAGCAGGTTTCCCTGTACAATGAAAATTTTACTTTGCTGTGCACACTGAATGCCAAAGAAATCAAGAAATAAAATAACAAAATATACACATTAATCAACAGAAGTATTTTCAGTATTTACAATGTGCAGTAGTTGACACTTGTGGATGTGCAAATTTGGCATTAAATTTAATTTAATTTGGCAATTATGAATATATTTTTAGTGAAATATGTACAAATTGACTTTTGTTCTTTCAGTATTTGCTTTAAAACTTAATTATAACCGTGTACATTTGACCTGTGATATTTTCCTATCTGATTACAATTATAATATTCTGAGATTTTTATCAATTTTTATCAACTACGAGATAAGGCTAATTAGCATTGCATGTCATAAACAATAAACGCAGTGGTTCATTTAACAGTAGTTCATTTGTCGGTGGTTTATTTAACAGTAGTTCATTTGTCAGTGGTTCATTTAACAGTAGTTCATAGTGGTTCATTT